AAACTAGGAAGAAAGGCCTAATGACCTGCTCCTGAAAATGAGGCAAGGAAAATCCTGGGATTCACAGCAGCATAGTACCGTCGCTGCAGTCTTCAAGAGGAGTCTTTGGCTTGGAAAGAACTTAAAATATACAGCGGCTGAACCAATGGACTCATGGACTCCAGTGACTGTGAAGCAATGCAGGCCGGAAAACATTCTGTCCTGTAATTCCTGGGGTCACCAGGTGTCGCAGCTGACTCACCTGCAACTAACCAGAGTACCATATAAGGTGATGGCAGTAAAAGGGCAAATACTTCACGGAACTCTCTATTCTCAGGCTGCATGGGGATCAAGGGGCTGGGATGCAGTGTGGCTCCAGGGCCCATTTTCTCTCAGTCATTATTTATAGATGAAGCCTCTAAATGTAAAATAGCTCCATAGATAGTGGAGTTCTAAATTAAGCTAAAAGCAGCTTTTAAAAATTTGAATGAGGTGAAGATAAAATCCACATGAATGTTCAAGAAGATAAAGAGGCAATCACTCTGCACTTGTGGCTGTGGTCAGGTGGACCCGCAGGCCCGAGGAGAGTTCCCTCGCTCCCACGGCCCCTACAAAGTATCAGAAGCACTGCCTAGCTCTTAGAGCAAGTCCTAAACCGAACCCACTGTCTTGTAGTCAGTAGTGACTCATAGTGACCGAAGCTGTAAATCTTAGTAAGAGATTACCCATCTTTCTTCCTTAGTACAGCTAGTGGATTCAAACCTCCAGCCTTTGGTGAGCAGCACAACACACTTTGCACTGTGCCACCAGAGCTCCTGATTAGATTCATGGGTGCTTAAGGAATACACTGCCCACTGGATTCTTTTTTTTTTTTCTTTGTTGGACTTTCTGTATTTTGACAGTCATCAGACCATTATTGTTGAACGTGCCCACTGGATTCTACTCCCTCCCACGTAAAAGTAGCAATGAAGGTTTAGTGAGGGAGCATTGGTGGCATAGTCCTTAATGACTGTGCATTGTGCTGAGAACCCAAAGGCCCCATGTCTTAGGCAGTTCAATGCACCACAGCTCCATGAGAAAGACGGGTGATTGCAGTGTACAACCTTAACTCAATGGAGAGTCACTCTGAGTTGGTGGACATGACTCGATGACTTTGAGTTGAGTTGAACATTTCTTAAAGGAGCCTTGGTTGTATAAAGGTTGAGGACTGGGCTGCTAACCAAAAGGTGGTAGCTTGAACCCACACAGGGGCTCCATGAGACTTGGTGGTTTGCTCCAATAAAGATTCCAAAATATTATACCCACTGCCAATATGAGTCAATTCCAGATTATAGTGAACCTGTAGGACCTAGGTATTTTCAGTTGCTTTCTAAATATCTGCATAAGGAAGGCCAAAGATGAATCAATACCTTTGAAATGTAGTATTAGTAATATGGAGGGCCACAAGAACAAACAATTCTGTCCTGAAGGAAGTACAGCCAAAGCATTCCTTAGAGGCGAGGATGGTGACACTTGGTCTGGTGTATTTTGGGTCTATTTTCAGGAGGAACCAGTCCTTAGAGGGAGACATCATGGTGGGAAAGATTAAGAGAGACTGGTGTAAGAGCAGAAGACCCTCACTGAGGTGAATTGACGTAGTGACCACCACAAAGGGCTTGAATACGGAGATGGGGAAGGTGATACAGGACAGGACAAAGTCCAGATTTGTTCATAGGGTCACAATGAGCTGTAGTTGACTTGAAGGCGCCTAACAACAATAACAGCAGCACAGGGCAGTAGAACATCCTCATGTAATCTTTATGTTCATCTGGTCCCAACTTGGAATCAAGCTGTTGGCAAGGGTTTGGTTTTGTGTTTAATCTGTACAGAAATAGACTGCTGCATTGTGTTCCTCCAGAGCCCTTACCTACTGTGCCACGTGGACCCCTTCTATAATGATTACAGCCTTTAATACTTTGTAAACGAAATCAGCATTATCATCAAGTCTGAATGGACTGGCTCATAACTTACTCAATGGTGGATATTCAAGAGGGGGTAAATTGCATGGGAGGAGATTACCCACTTTTCTTCCATGGAGCTGCTGGTGGATTTGAACCACTGGAGAGGTGCTGCCACTGGGTGAGCGGTACAACTCTCTATGAACTAGACCACCAGGGCTCCCTAAGAACACACGAGAGAGTCCATAATTGACTTGAAGACAGGCTCCAAATATCGTGTTTTGAGCACATACTCTGAGCCAGACACCTTTTTGTCCAAGACCTCATCTACTTTTTCCTTAAATGATATTCCATTCCTAACAATGGGTCCCTATTTCACAGATGAGGAAAACAATACACAGATAAGGAAGTCCGCTAGCTTGTCAGTTAGTCAAGACATCTAGACTTAGAATGGTCTGACTCTAGAATTTTTACTACAAACCATGTAAAGCAATTGCTCTTATTGGGGTCACACCAGAAACAAACATCAAGGAGGCCATGGACACACTTTGAGAAGCTGTGTCCTAGGGCACTTCTCAACTGGCTTCATATTAGAACCACATGAACAGTTAAAAAAGCAACAGATGTTCTACCCTTCCCCCAAAAGAATGTTTTTCAATTGGTCTAGAGAGATGGGATGGGGTTACTGAACAGTGCTGTTAAAAACTTCTCGTGTGATCCCATCAGCATAGAGACTCCTTACTCATATTTTTAGGCAACTCTGGTGCTCTAATAACATCAACATAGAGGATGATCAGTTGGCCTAGTGGACAGAAAGCGATGCTACCAAGCTAAGGGTGGGTGACTTTTAATGCGCAGCCCTCGGGCCTGTCTTTCATTGTGTTTGTTCAAACATTCTTCTAGGTTGTATAGCCCTGGTGTGTCCACTTGCCGTACAGCAGTAACTTGTGGTTGCTGTGAAGCTAAACTCTGTGATACTGATGTGTCAGATGCGTTAATGGTTACCCATGGCGGACAGTGTTTGGGAGTGCTCCCTGCTTAAAACAAGCTTGGAAACAGGAGCGGCATCTACTTCCATAATAGCTTGCCTCTAGAAACCCTATGAACCTGGAGAGAGGATGAAAGTAACACAAGTGTTGAGAACTTTCCTTCATAGAGTCGCTATGAGTCACCAACGTCTCAATCGCACTTAATAACAACTGGTGCTCTAGTGGTAAGAAGCTGCACTGCAATCCCAAAGGCGCTTGGTTTGAATCCATCCAGCTGCTCTGTGGGAGAAGGATGGACAATCTCTTCCCATGTGATTTACTGCCTTCTGAAAACCCACCGGAGGGTCAGTTATGGGTTGGTTCTGACTTGAAGACACATAGCGACACTGATATTTTTAGGATTTGAGGAGCTCAGTGGAAACAAGAACAGAAGAAAGAGGATGGAAGAGACAAAAAGAAAAGAAAAAAAAGCAAATGAGATCATGTAGAAAGAGAAGCAAGAGAGAATCTGACAAGAGGTTCTTACTGGATTGGCCCTTCTGCAGTCCGGAGTTTATATCTTCCTCCTCCACTCACTCCATAATCTTTCCTATTGTATTGTTTTTGCTGTTGAGTGTTGTTGAGTTGCTTCTGAATCAGAAGAATGTACAACAGCATGAACTGCTACCCATTACTCACCATCACTTCACCATTACTGTACCATTCTCACAGGCACTTCTGTGTTTGAACCCAGTGCTGCCGTCTTTGTATCAGTTTATATTATAGAGGGTCTTTATATTTTCCCCTGATCTTCTATGTTACTTTCTTATTATCGCTCACTCATTCTTTGCCATTGAGTCAGAACCAACTTATTCATCGCTGAGCCTCCAGCAGGTTTTCCGAGGTGGTACATCACACTGGAGATTATCCATCTTTCTCTTGGGAGCTGGTCGCTGGCCAATTTGCACTACCAGAGGCCAGGCTTTTGGGTTAGAGCATAACTCCTTATGGACTGTCCCATCAGAACTGTTTTCTTATTATGTTGTTGTTGTGTGCCGTTGAGTTACAACCAGCTCATAACTGAGTCTCCACCAGGTTTTCAGAGGCTGAAAATTGTATGGGAGGAGACTGCCCATCTTTCTCCCTCAGAGGGGCTGGTGGATTCGAACTGTGTATATTTAGGTTGGCAGTGCAACCACCTACCACCAGAGAGAGTTTCCTAGACCACCAGAGCTCCCTTTCCTTATTATAGTAGTCATCAATTGATGTTAAGAAAAAAAATAGTACAAATGTATATGAAAAAAATATTGCTTCTCAGACATAATCACACTTAAGGTGTGAGCAGAATACCTTGATTTAACTAAGTTGTATCCTACTATAGCATTATTCTATTTTGCTTTTAGTTAACTTTAAAAAGAAAGATTTTGCTTTTCAGGTAATTATAGCTCTGTGTCCGCAACAAGGGTAAATGTGCCAAACATTATGCTGAGTGAAAGGAGTCAGTCACAGCAGGACAGAGACTGTCAGATCGCACTCCTGTGGACTATGCAGCCATAAAGAAAGCAAAGATTGCTAATGGCTACCAGAGGTGGGGAGCATAAGGAGAGGGAGGATATTTTTTTTTGGAGAAAGCATTAAGTTTATGTTAACGGTGGTGGAATGTTTTGAAAACTTGTACCACATGAAAACTAGAAATCAGTATCATTGACTTGTAAATTTGAAGTTATTGTATTGGTGGATCTTCTGATGAGTTTCTTTTTCTCTCGCACAAGCAGTGTCTGGAATCTTTATGGGAGGGTGCACAAGTGGAGTCGATGACAAGGTGCCCACCACTTCCCACAAATGCGTTTATGCATCCTGCTGCTTCCCTACAAGCCTCCACAGCTGCCTTCACATCACAGTCTCAAAGCCAATAGCAGGACTTTATTATTTGCATGTAAAAAAAAGGTAAAAAAATGCCACCCCCTTTCCCTCCATTTCTTGGAATCTAATGAAAAGTGGCCCCAGGAGACCCAGGTCAGTGGCTGTACTGGAGCAGGTCACCATAAGGGAGTCATCAGTCCTTGGCTATTTCTTCCACCCTGGCTGCCTTCCTCGGCTCCCATGCCTCAGACCCTTAGTTCCTCTTCTCCCCGGTGGGCTGATGCTGGTGCTCTGGGCAAAGGCTGTGCATCCACAGGTGATAGGCGATGGCAGTGGTTACGGTGAGCCAAGCCAGGTAGGGCAGCAGGAGCAGGGCTGCCAGCTTGTTGATGGGGCGCCAGGTGAGCGCTGTGCTCACCACCAGCCCATACAGCAGCAGCAGGTGCAGCAGGGCCTGGGCAGGGGGGCAGGACAGTCAGGCAGCCTGCTGGGGACCCACCCCCTCCACTTTTCTGTAGCACTCTGTATCCAAGTGAGAAACCAACTTGGGGGTGGTGGTGGTGCTTCATGCCCCCCACAGGAGCGCCGAAAGTCAGCATGCTTGTTTCCTGCCTGCCCTTGGCCCATCTGCTATGTTATCTGTTTCTGGAGACCTGGAGGCTTTTACCTTTTCCTCCTAGTGTTCTTGCACCACTGAGCTTTGTGTATCTTACCAGACCGGGGCTGTGGACTGCAAAAAAGAGGATCAGGACGGCCCAGCTGATGGCGAGCTGCACAGCGTAGAGGCCGAGAGGCAGGGCCAGCAGCTGCCCAAAGCCCCCTCCCAGGTCCTTCCATACCAGGTACGAGGCGTAGCTGTGGAAAGACAGTGGCAGAAGCACACAGAGGACTGGGTGCCATGGCAAACAGAAGAGGCACTCTAAGAGAAAGACTTTTGGTGACCAGAGGAAGCCCTTGTGACCGATGTGGAGCAGATGGGTCCAGACAGCATTTGAGGGCCAGAGGGCAGAGGGAGTTGGGCGTGGTGAGATGGAAGAAGTGGGGAGACTCAGAGGGTAGGGGCTGAGGGTTGCTGGAATGTAGGCAGGTCCAGAGGGTTTCTGTGAGTGTTCTACAGACTTCACTGATAAGAGCCTTGCAACTCTAGGGGTTGTGGGCCCCCTAGGAGAAGGCAGGGGCATCTTTTTGAAAGCCAGTCTGTGCTAGGAGTTCATGTTTAGAAAACTTATTTCTGCAGAAAGCCGAGGGGCAGGGCTATTACCCAAGATACCTGGGAACCAGCCCCCTGACATTTTTGTAAGCACCCTCTGTCCAACCTACTGGAACTGGTGCCTTGGCGTGAGGCATGGAAACTCACCCCATGACTGAGTAGATGGTGGTCCACACAAGCAACAAGACTTTGTGGGGTGGGCACCAGAGCTTGGTCCTTGGGCCCTCACACCAACCAGGCATTCGATGATGGGCAAACAGCCAGACCAGGATGGGCCCCAGGTGGGGCAGTGTCACAAAGATGGCCCCTTGGGGCCACATTCTCCCAGAGAAGGCTGAGTCTGGGGAGGCAGAGAGTGTGCTAAGTGGGAGTCGTCTCACCTTGGGTCTCATCCCAGATCTTCATTTCCACCTTCTGACCTGATGCTATTCCCTGCCTTGTCCCTCTCCTTTAGGGCATCTCTGCCCACATGACCTGGCCCCTTTTCTAGCTCCCATAGATTTATTTTCTTCATACCGTGCATTTTGCATCTGGAGGATACTGCCTAGTACTGATAACCGCTTGTGAGTACAAGGCATCCTTCCTTCAGCATGTATCCAGCTACTGGAAGCAGGTCCATTTGACTGCCTTCCTATTTCCCACAGAGCTGTGGGACATAGGGTGCAGAGCAGACCCCTCAATGAGGAAATGGTCTTAAATGGAACCCAACTAAGCTCATAGTAACCAACTCAGTGCTGCTGTGATTGGAAGGCTCAGATGCTGAAGGTAGGAGGTTTGAGGGTCTCTTCTGGTCAAGAACAAGGTTGCCCCATCTGCCCCAGACTTATCTCACTATACCAGACTGGCAAGCTAAACGGGTCCCACCCAGCATGATCTCCCGCCAAATGAAAACTCAACTGAAGGGCTGCAAAGGTACCTTTCTCTGAAGGTTTAGCTCTCTTCTGCCCTTGGAAACCCCCCTCCCCCTTTGGTCAGGCATAAAGTCAGAATTCTTGCAGCTGAACTCCTTAAGGAAACAAACTGGCCTTTTGTTTTAAAAGCTATACGGTTCATTTGTATGCTGCTTTGCTTGTAATGTGCATTTGGTGTGCAAACCCTCTGTCAACAAGGACTGCACTCAACAGACAGTTATTTGAATCCACCAGCTGCTTTGCTGAAGAAAGATGAAGCAGTATATTCTTGTAAAGATTACAGCCTTGGATCCCCTGGGGGGGCAATTCATCCTTGTCCTACAGGATTGTCATATGTTGGAATTAACAGCAGTAAATGGGGTTTGCTTGGTATCCTTCAACAGGGATGGAAATACAGAAAAATTCTGGTTCTTCTCAGTGTTCAGCAATAACTATCTGCTTTAGGCTTTCCTGCAAGAGTCCCTAATCATATCCTAGAATTTTGAGACAGGGCTGACCAACCTGTGCATCTTTCCACCTTTTCTCTGTTCTTCCTTCCTGTGCATTTGCTCATCTGCCTTGCTATCTCTTTCTCTCTTTCTCTCTTTGCTATCCAGTTTTGGAAGCCCCCAACTCTCACTAGACTCATTCCATCCTTCCTTCTCCTCTTACCCACCACCTGTCACACCTCCTTCTCATTTTTTGGCCTTCCACCTCCCTTACCTTAGGCTGCACAGCTCCCAGATGAGTGCCTGGTGATCTATGACGTGCAGAAGGTGGAACGGGGTGTGGGATGGAGAGGAGGGTGGGGTGGTGTTTCAAGCAGGCCTGTCTTCTTCCAATCACAAAAGTGGTGATATTGGCTGGGGAGGCCAGACGGCTGCCTGTGTGGCCCTCATTCAAAGTTCCTCTCATCAGGAGACCTCTGGGCTGCTAGGCTCTTCAGGGTGCTTGGACTCTGGAAGATCAAGACCTCCTGACACAGTATGGCCCTGGGTTACAAATCTACTGATGCCCACGGTCTCTGCACACTGTGACTCAGCATTGGGTCCGTGGGGGTGATGGAGTTCTCCGGTTTCTCAGGGCCCAGGTTACCCCCAAATGAGACATGCACTGGCTTTGGAAATGAGTTCATGGCACATGGACACAGCCCCCGGGTATAGCCTTCTGATTGGCATAGCCTACACGAGCTTGGAACTCTAACTAGCTTGACTGATGGTTCACAAATCCCTCAGACTTTATGACTCACAGACCAAAGCAGCCGCCTGTGTGACTCAGACAGAACTTTGTCCAAAAAAGAATTGCACATTCCCGTTCCCTCTGTTATCCTAACCAGAGGTCCCTTCCTGGCTCGAACTTCAGGCCCGAGGTTCCTCTCCCAGAAGCAGCCTGCTCTCCATCCATTCCTTTGCTACTTCTCTCCTTGTTGGGCAATGTGGCTGCCCTGGCAGATATTCAGCTCACTGTCTTACCTCCACCCGGGGAAGGAAGCAGAGCACTGGGGGTTGCAGTCAGGGACCAGAGGCTAGGGAATCATTAACTGAGATCGAAGCAGAGGAAGTTACTTATTTTCTATGGGAGATGATAACAGGGGGCTGGGGTTGTTCACCACACTTCCTCAATTGTAGGAGGCAGACCGTAGAGTGAACATGACGAGGATTGTTTACTGAGCATCCATTTTTTGGTAGCTGCCTTGCATTGATTAGCTCAGTAATGTCAATTAACAACCCATGCCTGCTAAATATTATCTGCTTTTAAAGAGAAAGTAATTTAAGCTCAGAAGGTGTCTCTGTTCCCCAGTGCTGCTATAACAAAAAGTAGGATAAGTAGGTGGTTTAAAAGAACCAAACTTTATTTTTTGGCAGCAATGGGCTGTAGTGTCTCAGATGATGAAGATGGCACAGCATAGGACAGGTTTCAAGTAGGCTGGTCCCAGGGTTGCTTTGAGTCACAAGGGATTCAATAGCACCTAACAGCAGCAACAACAGAAGTCCAAACCAGGGTTTCAATTTATCAATTCTTTCTGTTAGCCTTTCTGTGAGTTTCTGATGTCCCTAGCTACTCTTGGTGATCCTTTGTTTATGGGTCCTCATGGGGCACACCTATGTATGAGTCCATGTCTATATTGCTTTCTATAAGTTGCCACTCAAAAGTGATTCAGTTTAAGACCAACCCACATCTAAGACCCTTGTCTTAGATCAATAGGGATTTTCCTGAAGGAAATGACTCAAACACTTATAAATACTAGCAAGTCCTAGATCTCTAGCACACAGCAGAAGAGTCTGTGAATCCAAGGTCACAGATAAAACAGACTGTTGGTCCAAGAACCAAAGAGATGAAGAGTCAGTTATACCATTGAGACTGAGCAAAAAACAAGCCAGCTCTGCCAGACCTTCTTACAGAGTTGGTGCAGGCCATACCTCTGACAAAACTTCCACTCAACCAATCGGCTGCTAATAGGAAATCCCATCAGATAAATGATTACATTAGCTCCACCTCATCAAGGGAATGGCCATGTCACAGCTGTCAAGCCAGAGAATCATAGACAGCCAAATAACACACCATCTTCACCTTCACAACTCTGCTAACATAACAAAAGAAAACTCTGATAGTGCTTTCTTTTTGAGAATCTGATTTGATCTGTAACAGAGGGGCTAGGGACCTCTCCAAATTATTGAGGAGTAACGATGTCAGTTTGAGGACTTAGGTGTGTCTGATTCAGGCCCTAGTCTTTTCAATCACATGCTATACATCTGAGAACTGGACAGTGAATGAGGATGGTAGGAAAAGAATTGATGCTTTTGAGCTGTGGTGTTGGAGAAGAGTACTGAACATCCCATGGATGGCCAAGAGAACAAACAGATACATTTTGAAGAGCGAGGAGCTGAAGAGCTCCTTGTAGGCAAAAAATAATGAGGCTTCAGACCTCACATACTTTGGGCATGTTGTTAGGAGAGGCTATTCCTTGGAGAAGGACATGATACTGGGAAGGGTGGAGAGTTGGTGAAGGAAAGGAAGATCTTCCACCAGGTAGATTGACATGGCAACTGCCACAACGGGCTCTTGTGTGTCTAGAAGTGTGAGGATGGCGCAGGATAGAACAGGGTTCACATTGTTTGTTCATAGGGTCACTGGGACTTGTACTCAACTCAATGGCGTCTAGCAACAACAAGAAATAGCTTGTAGCCAATAGCTGAGTTGCCTGAGCTTAATGTTGCCACTCTGCCTCCACAATGCATGTTCTCGCCTCTCTTCTCATTCATTGAGCAGTTCTTCATTGAACACCTACTGTGCATCAGACTGTATCAGGAACTGAACAAACAGTGTTGAAAAGTTGAAGAGAGGCAGCCCTCTCCTCAGGGAGCTCTCATCCCAGTGACTATCTTCCTAGGCAGAGTGTCTAAGGACTCAGGGTAGGAAACAACCCCAAAGTTCAAGTTCCTGACAAGTGGCAAGATCCCTGAGCACCAAATGTGGAGAGGGAAAAGCAGAAACAGAGAGCAGACACAGGCAAGCTCCAGTGTTGCCGGCAGCCTGAGTTTATGAGTTGTTCTTTAACCCTCTCAGAGCGAGTATTGTTGAGGCTTCCAGAACCAGCTTGACGGGCAGCACCTGAGAATTTAGTGATGCAGATTCTCATGTCCCATGCTGGCCCCACAGAATCAGAGCCTGCATTTTAGCAAAGATCTCTAGGTGATTCATAAACACGCTGCTTAGTTTGAGAGATTCTGGTTAAAGTTCCCTCTCCTCTGTCTCTTCTACCATTTTAACCAGGGCTTCAAACGGATTCTTCCTGGTTCAGTCACGGCCAAGGAAAAGAATCTGGAACAGACTTGAATTTTCAAAATTTAGGTGAACTGGAACAGTAACTCGACTGGGAAAAATTGCAGATCTAAGCCCTGCTAGAAACTAAATATCCTCTTCAAAAGACGAGGGCAGCGTGTGAGTTGCACAGCAATCAAATCTTTTGCCCATTGTGTTCTGAGCTGAGTGGAAAACAATGGAGACCCTACCGCGCCTCTTTGTGTGTTTCTTTCCACAATCTAGGTAATTATCCAATCTCACGCATCAGCCTTCTGAAAGGGCTCGCTGCACCTCTTCTGAGCCTACCATTCCGATGCTTCAGCTCCTATTCTCCCCACTTCCTTCTGATTATTGTTGCAGGGCACCAAAGTTTTAACAATTCATGTCTGTTCTGGTTTTGCTTTGCCAACCGTGCCTGAAACCTCTTGAAGCCTTGATTTGAAAAGTCTCTGGTTGAGGTTGAGGGAGCTCCGGTGGCCTAGTGATAAGATGTGCTGAAATCCCAAAGGCACATGGTTTGAAACCACCAGCTGCTCTTCAGGAGGAGGATGGGCAATCTCTATGTGATTTACTGCCTCTGAAAATCAGCTCGATGGTCAACTGTGGGTTGGTTGGGGTTGGCCACA